AAGCCGTTGTCTATAGTCAGTACTGTAAGTAATGCATTTTGCCGAGTCCCAGTCAATGTTGTGCTTTGTGATTCGGTGATGTTCGACAATGTGATTAGTTTTGTCTTGTTTCTTTGTACCTCGTTTGTGTTCAGTAAGTCTTATGTTTAAGTTCCTGCCAGTTTCCCCGTTTCACAAGTTCGAGACTGGACTAATGTTAAGGACTGTGAGTGAAAACAATATAGCAAATGATTTTAAAATTATTGGATGTCATTGTTTAATTCACGCTTTGTCATTTTGTCTCAATTTAAATTAATTTCGTTATTATAGCTAATGGACAAGAAATTGAACGAAGGAAGATGACAGGTGTCTTTAAACATTTCGAATAATAAAAAAATAGCAAAAAAATGTATGCAACACAACTGCAATTTCACGAAAAGAAAAATGTGATTGCTCTTTTTTAATGTTTTTCGTGAAATGATAAACCTAATCATTAAAATATTATGATTCTTTATGTTGAAGGATGTTCCCCAGCTATAGGAGTTTCTTTGTTGTTCTTTCATAATCGCTGTGAAGTATAAAAACCTTTTTATCACCTTATGAATTAGCTATATGCATGCATTTTTTAGACTCTCTTTTTAATAAAATATTATTCTTTGAAACATTCTTTTAAACATATAGGTTCCATGTATTTTAATACTATAGAACTTCAAGAGTGAGATAATTTTTTTCTTTAAAAATGCTTTTATCTTTTTTAGAGATATATTACTTAACGCTTCATCTGTTGTTTGTCCTGAGCACTATCATATACGTCTTACATTGACGTATATGTTTTTGTAAAAGAGCTTATCATTAAGCTTATCAAAACAGCACGTCATTGTCCGGTAAAAGCTTTTTAATTTCAGTCCAATTTGAAATAAAAACATTTTCCGGACATTAACACCATCATCATATAGCTAGATATCGCGTAAAAAACCCCTTATATATGGTACGTACTTAGCAGAAAATTAATTTTAAACGAAAAAAACAAAACAGGAGATGTCTTTACAACTGTTCAGTAATTTGAAAATGAGGTTTTTTGCAAAGATTTTTAAACTAGAAACGTTTGTAATTAATACAGACCTAGTGTTTTATTTATTATTAACAATAATTTGTGAAAGGAAGACATATTTGGGTACTTAATGATAAAAAAGCTAAGTTTTAACTAACTCATCTATATATATTTTGTCACATAGGTAAAATTGATGTGTAGATTCTTTAAGATAATGTTCACCAATACACCAATTTATCAATTATCTTCAAGAAAGAAATATTTCTACAAGCCTACCCCTCATAGAATTAAAGAAAAATCGGCATTTATGGCCTTATAGCTCTATTGCCTAAAAAACCCCAAAGGGCTTTATTATGCAATCTAAGTAAAGCATACATGCAGCTGTGCATGCACAAAATATAATTTATTCTTCATGATGGTGGTTATATAAATGTTGTCAAAAGTTTTCAAACACAAAGTGTTTACTTTTTTATGCAAGATATTGATGCGCGTTTCTGTAGTTTTCTTTTAGTTGCTTTTTGCAATGCATCACATAATGCTTGTCAAAGCGTACAAAGTGGTTTTATGAAGACAAAAGACAATGGTATGTTACAGTACAAAAGACAACAACATCGTCTAAAGATGTCTTTAGCAGTTACTTTATTTATAAATGATTTTGCAAAGTTTTTACGTTTTTAATTAACACAGACCTGGTGGTTTTAGCAATCAATTATTAACCACGATATGTGAAACGAAGACACATGAGTACTTAATGATTAATAACTTAGTAGTTTTAAGTCAATGCGTTGTCTATCACATAGGATATAATTAGTGTGAACAATGTTTTAAGGTAATGTTCACTGATACACCAATTTATCCAATTTATCAATTGTCAACCAGCAAAAATATTTCTACAAGCTTACGCCTTTAGGAATTGAATATAAATCGCTTTTATCGCCTTAAAACTTTCCCAAAATATCGGAAAGTGCTTTTTTATGCAATTTAGGTAAATCAAACACAGCTGCATGTACAAAATATACATTATTCTTTATGACGGTGGCTATATAAATGTTCTCAAAACGTTTTCAAACATAAAGTGTTTTCTTTCTTTTATGCAAGATGTTGATGCGCGTTTCTGTAGTTTTTCTTTTAGTTGCTATCTGCAATGCATCGAATAATGCTTGTCAAAGTTCACAAAGTTTTTATGAAGACAAAAGACAACGGTAAGCTACAGAGTAAAAGATAAAATAAATGTTTTGGAGGATGTAAAAAACTAGTATGTTTTAAAACGCGTACCTGCAGGTTACATTTGTAGTTGTTTAATTGCAATAAAGCTTTCTCATTTCTATTTTATACCGTTCTGGCAAAATATATTAGCAAAAACTGAACAAGCGAAGATAGTATTTTTCATATATGTTTTCTAATCTAAAACTAAGCGTTCTATCTAGCATTGTTGCTCTCGCTGTTTTCGGCCTTCAATTCTTTACGTTTGATCGTTAGTAAAAATACATGTAATTGTGTCATTGATAAGAATAATAAAACAGGTAAGACTCCGAGACTTCTAGCTCGAATCAGTTCCGTACATTGTTTTTTGCTTAACTTTTTCCGTTTTAGAAATATTTGCTTTACGAAATTTATTTATGTTTGTTTGCAAAAATGGACCTACAAAACAGATTTTGAGCTAATGAAGGCACGCTATTTTACTGGAAGTGACACCAGACATATAATTAAAGAAATTAATGTATTTAATTTACATGAAACGTCTGTGTTGTCTAGATATATAAATTCACTCCCCCCCTCCCCAATAACGTTCTAGTTTCGCCCCTGCTTCCATGGTAGTCTTAGCCACTTGTTTGGAAATAGGATAACGTTGTAGAGTTGCTGAATGTAAACTTGGATCCATCAAAGCGATAACACGACAAATATTGTATCAAGAAAATTTTACCTAGTGGTCACTCAAATCAACAAAGCAATCTACTTGTAGAAATACTGAGTTTTGGTTTATTCTGAAGTTTTGAAAGTTGTTTTATGATAAAGGACAAAACCATAAGGACAATTATATAATGTTTCATCGATCCAGCGATTCCTTAAATATGTCTTATTACATTACACTGAAAAACTGAAGCAAAATTTACCAAATTTTTTTTGTTTCAAATAAAATATAAATTTTTTACACGAATTTAAATATTTTACATTTGTGTTCTTTACTTTTTCACTTTATGACGTTATTAGGGTCCTGTAAGCAGATGTATTATAAACCTCCAGTGTGAGTTATCATCATGAATAATGAAACAGTAATAATCCCAATGTCCTCACTATGTCATGGTAAAAAAATTTTTGCAAAAGCATCTACATATGCATATATACCTTTAAACCATATCTTGATTGATATTTGAACAACAATTCCTATCGTAAGTGCTCCCAAACCCACAAAAAAATAATTATGATAATTTATTTTGCTGTTTTATCAACATTTATCAAATCAATTCAACAGCATTCTAACACATTTCAGATCATTGATTCTTATTTATTATTTGGGCGTCTTCTGATGTGAGATTAGTACATTCTGTCTAACGTCATGAATCTATGCTAATAAGTAATAAGTCTGCCTGCTTCAAAATGAACATACACTGTAGTTTAAAAAAAATTTAGATTTGAAATGTCCATCTCTGTAGATAGTAAAAAGAAGCATGCAGACTTCTCAGCTTCAAAATTTTTTTGACTATAGTAAGGTCTTCGGCTGTTTTCCCTTTCTGGTGTATGTTACCAATTAAATCAGAAAGCCGACAAGGACACATCAATATTTTGAACTTTTTGCTATTTCCTTCTCATGAAATGTTTGGAATAAACCATGACTTAACAAAACTGCTGTTAGGACGGTATAAATTTGACGAGGCAATGTTTGTCGTGTTATTTTCCAGCTTTGATGCATCGAAGTTAACTTCTAAAAATTTTGCAATGTCATCCTATTTCCAGAAAAAAGAGAAAAGAACTAGAGGTTAGATATTAAAAACATGTTTGTACGTATAAAATAAAAACAAACCAAAATGTATGAAAGGAGTTCTTTTTTTTGTTTATTATAATTAAAATTTAAATGGACGTAATATCTGTGGGAATGGTCGGCCGATGCTAAAAATAAACGCTAGCCAAAATTTTTTACGGTTTTTTTTGAACAGTTGTAAACTTTTATGATTAGTTCTACCCTTATCCAAAAACAAAAACCTTCTCTTTCAGGCAAAGTTACGGGAGCTTGCGCTGACAGAATTAATACGCTGGGACTTGTTTAAGAACATCGCATTTGACCTCATAAAGTCAATTATTCTTATTGAACACTCAGGCATACTTACAAAATAGTGTTTCATTGCTATATATAAGAAATAAGTCGTAATGTTATGATTTCTAAGATTCTATTCATTCCATGATTAAAGAATCTACCTGTTATACTTGTAGCTATGGTTCTTTTCAACATCAGTGTAAATGTAATAGTAGCTTTTCAAATGAAGCTTTAAGTCCGAAATTATACAGCCATCAATCTGGGTTTTTATTTAACAGTAGCAAGTGGCAATGTACAGTACTGATCTTATATGTTTACTTTAAACATGACGGCTAATATTTAAATTGTATAAAAATCTTTATGATTGAGGAAATATTTATCAAAAAGTTTCAGAAGCAAGAGCAATAAAAGTGGTGATATACGAAACACAGTGTAGCAATTATATGGAAATATCATATATTTACCATCGTGTAATCTTCCTATATTTCATGATATTTATATAAAATGTTTCCATCTAGGTTTAAACGTTGATAATGATTGGTTACTTTTCACAAACGAAGATTATCTTTCACTCTCTTTTGCTCCATGACACATTGCATTTTATAAATCTTGTTATTTCTTTTTTGTATTTTTGACTATAAAATAGACTTTGTTATCTTTTTGTATTATTTACACCTTTTGTAATTGATCCTGTTTTGTTCTTTGTTTTAAAGGTGAGACGCTATCACCAAAAGATATCATTTCAACTCATGATGTTCACAATGACATTGAATGTTCCATGAAATGTCATCAACAGAAACTATGTGTTGGCTTTAATTTCTTATTTGATGCAAAAGAATTTGAGATAAACTGCCAAATTACCAACAGAAAAAACCCCAGAAATATAGAGAAACTAGCCTCAGAAGGCAAATGGACTTTTTATGAAACTCTTGTATTGGTAAGAAAAAAGAAAGTGGTTGATTTGAAAATGTTTGTTAAGTGGGTATTATGTGTCAATTTTAAATATATTGTTAACGCTTATTTTTTTCCTGATAAGCATTGTGCAAAACTATATAAAATCTGACTTAAAGTACTAATTAAAAGAAAAATGCCCAATCAAGTGTCTATTTTTAGGTTACTGAATTTAATCCGATTTTGAGAAAACGAATGCAATTTTAAAATTCATACGATTTCGAGGATTAGAATGAAATTGTGTCAATTTTAATTATGTTTAGTTTAATCTTAAAATGTTTTGAATAGCTATTTGGCACAATGGATCTATGTAGGAAAGCTTTTCATAACACTTTCTTTGGATGCCTAATGATTTATAACACGTAGGAAGTACACTGCAATAGATTTTTCAATAATATTGTTATAGGCAAAAGACTGTGCAGATCTATACATGAAAGGAAAGAGGAAGAATGGAGTTTACGAAATTGATCCAGATGGCCAGGGCAGTTTCAATGTTTTCTGTGATATGACAACATCTAGTGGAGGTTGGACCGTGTTTCAACGTCGTCAATATGGAAGTGTAGACTTTTATCGAGATTGGAGGGATTATAAAAATGGTTTTGGTGATCTAAAAGGCGAATTCTGGCTTGGATTGGATAAAATATACCGACTAACATCAGCAAGGAGAAATAAACTTCGTGTTGACCTGGGAGACTGGTCAGGAAACAAAGCATATGCTGAATATGATTATTTTGCTGTAGAGAACGAAGCACATAAATATCAGTTGAGTCTTGGTTCATATTCTGGTGAGTCAATAAGTAAATATAAACATTTGATGGACAAATTTCTAAGCAATATTTTGATATAAGCATTATATGTTGGAATGATTCGAGTTTGCGTAGACAGGTCAGCAATTTTGAGAAAAACATAGATATTTTAACGGTTGACTTTGAGCGGAAGTCTTGTTAGATCTTAAAAAATATAATCAATTTGATATTACAAACTTACAACAAAATACATTGAACAAACATAAAAATCATTTTGTTGTGTGAATCATTAAGTTGCATCCTACGACAAAAATTTTTGACTTACAATAAGAGATCATTCAAGGATTGTGCTTACCGTATCATTAAGATTAAATGAAAATTCAATTGAAGCTTTGTAAACAAGTAATGAGCATGCGCCTGAAACATTGCTAAATTATGTGGACTTAAATGAACATTAAAACCTTTTATATAAAAAGCATGCAAGCCTGTAATATATGATTGTAAATTCAGACCTCCATTCCTAGATTATTTATATATGTATAATTAAAAAAATGATTGCATAATGCTCTATCCAACTACTACAAACAATAACGACCTTATCGAACAAAATTTGAAAAATTAACCTTCCACTCCTCTTCCTTGTAGTTTTAGAGTTATACTCTGCTATACCGGTCACAAGCCCGGGTCTTGCAACGTAAGACTCTCTGATTTTGAACAGACTTGTCTTGTTTACAAGGAAAAGGAGTGGAAGGTCAATTTTTCAAATGTTGTTAGATAAGGTCGTTATTGTTTTTAGTTGTTGGATAGAGCATTATGCTATTATTTTTTTGTTTAATAACACTCCAACTATTTAATCTTATAAATATGCATAAATATATAGAATATAAATATATATAATATATTTATACATATAAAAACCTTACTGAAATTCATTCAAGTTTACGTGGATAAATTTACATATAGAATAATGCAAAACATAAATGTAAATTAAGTCTCGGACAACACTACAGGTATATCATCAAGTCAATAAAGAATTTTAAAGGTCTATTATAATAAAAATTAAATACCATTCATTACTTAACTTAGGAGTGAGAGCAATGAGTTAAAGCTGGATGTAGAAATAATGTTCTGGGAAATGAAAGTAGTATCAAAGTCAAAGTCATGACAAATTTTACCTTTGCAATTTATTCATTCCATTTTGAAGCAGGATTTACAGCATGTTGTTAAATAAGTCAGCTACAATAACTTTATGACAAACGGTAACAATATTATAATGTTTTTGAGGTTGGATCTCCCCCATGCACCAGAATATGTGAAATGAAAACTCAGTGTTATGTAATATATTTTAACACTTACATCAGTCCTTCATCTTTTACTACATAAAATAAAAAAAGACTAATTGGCAAATCTCACAAAAGCCCCCAAAACAAACGACCGCTATAAAAATCTTCTACCAACGACATAAAACCCTTTTTTTGGGAGTTTCTGCAAGTTCAAAAGAATTCTATAACTGCATTAAATGCGATTTTTGAAAGGTATTACTTTTTTTAGGAAATGCTGGAGATTCATTACATTATCATAAAGGCATGGCGTTTTCAACTAAGGATTCGGATAATGATAAAGATGGAGGAAACTGCGCCACAGACTACAAAGGTGCTTGGTGGTATAAGCATTGTCATCAATCTAACCTGAATGGGCACTACTACTATAGTGGAGCATACTACAGTGGGAGTGGTGTGGTTTGGTATTATTGGAAAAAAAACGAAAAATCCTTAAAGTTCACTGAGATGAAAATAAAACCATAAAAACTTCCGAAGACTGTGACGTTATAAACTTGATATTATTTCTAATGAAACTTTCAACATTTAATTATAGCGTTTTAGCTTTTATGTCTTTTAAAGAACCGTTATAATCATAACCATTTTCCCTAAAAATTAGAGCTGATTTCGGTAATTATATGATTCTAATGTTACGTCTTTTCACTCATTTCTTTAATGAGATGTTGCTCTGCAAGTAACTAATTCTATCATTTCGCCATGTTCCACGCAATCTTGGTGTATCATGCATGTCATGCAATTATCTTACATCATTATTCACTATGTAAGCAATGTCACTTTTGATTGGTTAACTACCTGCAAATAATTTTACATATCTGTAGGTATAAAAACATTTTACCTTTTATGTCTTTTAAAGAACCGTTATAATCATTTTCATTTTCCCTAAAAATTAGAGCTGATTTCTGACGTCTTTTCACTCATTTCTTTAATGAGATGTTGCTCTGTAAGTAGCTATTTTTTTCTTTTTGTCATGTTAGACGCAATCTTGGTGTATCATGCATGTCATGCAATTATCTTATATCATTATTCATTATGTAAGCAAAGTCGCTTTTGATTGGTCAACTACCTGCGGATAATTCTACATATCTGTAGGTAAGACATCTATTTACAAATAACAGTTTCTACAATTATGGACGACATTAAAAGCCAGTTTTGAAAAAAAGTCAAATCATAGCGATGTTTTCCACAGTTTCTAAAAACGATGTCAAAGCTTTTAAACAAGAAGCATCCAGAAAACACTAAAAACCGGCAAATATGGCTTTGAACGTGCTTACAACATAATTAAACCAGACGAACTTGAATAAGCCAGCTGACAAAAACAAATTAGCGAAGGTTTAAAAATGTTTTATATTGATATGTGTTAATAATATTTCAGTTAGTTAAAAGTAAATAATAAAATAATTATTTAACTCGGTTTTCGTAGCTATGGTATTAAAATTTATTCAGACCTCGGCAACGTTATCTGTCTCAGCTTTGCTTCTGCAGATAACATTGACCTTGGTCTGAATAATTCTTGATATCATGCTAAACCTCATCCAAACAAGTGTTTATTATCTGGCTCGTCAGCAATCTTGTTCCTTCCAAAGAGAATGGTTGCTCATAATCTATAAGCCGCGTTTACACTGCGGTCTCGTACCTGACCAAGGACTGACTAGGCCTCCAGTGTAAACACATCAAGCCTGACCTAGGACTCAACAAGGACCGACGTTTTCGGCCCATCATAGCACGTAGTCCTAGGAAAACTTACACATATTAGAAGACACTAGAATCTCCCATTGAGTTCTATAATAACTGGAGCGGCTATCTCAAGCGCGGCCTTAGATATCTGATGTTGTAAAAAAAATGGCGGATTTCGTCCGTTGCCGCTGAGATTTACCGAAATTGACCGCTTTTCCGAAAATTTCACAATTTCCCACTCCCTCCTGAGGAAAGAGTGAGGAAAATGTATATGTGTATTTGGGATTCGGCAAGCAATTTTTTGTTGAAAATCAAGGTAAAAACCTTAAATTCATAACAGCGAGTCAACTGTGCTTGTCAGTTATCTGCTCCTACGAGGATGCATTTATAACTATCGACGAAAGACCTATATGTCGGCTACACATGTATGAATGCAGATGTGCGTCGTTTTCTTACCAGCGTCAAATTTGTTTGATCGATTAAACTCTTTAGTCTATACAAAAAAGTATATCATAGTTCATCTCCACGGTTCACGAGAGAGAAGTCAGCTTATTTGTTATCATTGCTATTTTGCTTCTTTTCATGCAATGGGCAATGGCTTTTTTCGCCACAATTGTAGGATTTTTACTTGTTTCTTTAAAAAAGTACATATTAAATCTCTGGATATTTACGGATTTTCTGTAATTGAGTTTCATATGAAATTTCAAAAAGAGTCAAGTCTGCATAGGTTTGGTAAATAAAAACAAACAATATTGTGTAGAAATTACTTTAAGTAACCTTTTTGTGATGTTCTGAAGTGCAACTGCATCAAATACTTGTGAAGTTGTAGCACATTTTGATTTTGTTGTATTGATATATGAATTGGGCAAAATACAAATAATCATCAAAACACTTATGCTTCCAATGGTGTTTATAATTCATTTGTAGTTTTAATACTTCTACCTTTCTTTTTCACTTTGTTTTGTTTTTCCTATATTTGCAATATAAGTGCAGTATAATTTGAATGATTAACACAGTCTTCACCTCAATAATAAATTTCATAAGCAGTTGGTAGTGCATTTTGTTCTCTGAGTATCCACATCTGGTGTTTTGTTCATACAAGAATGATGAAGTGCAAGTAGATATGTCATAGCAAGGCAATAAAACCAAATGAATTACATTCCTATAGTGTACTTTTATGCTAGAAGCTTAAAAGCTTTTTAGAAATTAGAAAGTTATTGGATTATATTACCTCTATATCATCAATTTCATGATAAGAAATAAGAAGCAAAAAATTTGTAGAAAAGCTTTGAAAAGTGAAAAACTTTTCTATAAAAAAGCAGCAATAATGCATATGATAAATCTCCATTCTGTACTCTAATAGGTAAATAAGCTCAAATTTTTCTTGAAGAAATATAAGAAATATATAAGAAATATACAGTACAGTAACTTTAAAGGTTTCATCACTGAATCTTTAATTCTTCAGTATAGTGCATTAGATATTAAAAACATTCAAACAACACTCAACTAAATTATTTTGACAAAGATATGACATGATTTAAACATTAAGTTACATAAAACCCAATGGCTTATACAGTTTGAAGCTTCACATCTGCATCGAGTCATCATCAATCTCAGTACAAATGTTTACATAGACACAAACTTTATGGCCTTCCATTTTACATGTTTGTGAATTGACATTTCATTAAGCATCAAAACACACACAACCTTCTTGCCATCTTTCTTTGGATCATGAACTTTAACTTCAAAGCATTCAAGGCATCCTTAGTGAATCCATTGTCTCCATCCATAGAATTTGACCACAATCAATAACATCTTCCAGTCATCTTTACTCCTTGATCTTCCCTGCATGTTGTCAGCAAATAGAACATAACAAGCTCTGCTCCAAATCATGGGTACCGTTGGGGCTGATCATTTCTTTTTGATACCAGATCACATTTTTGATACAGAGCAAAATGTGTGCAGTGTCTTTTTTGCTTTAGGGAAACTATTTTGCAAATAGATGGGTAAATTTACGATTTCATGCATTAACAAATGACAGAAAAGTATACAGAATTTTATAAGAATTTTACAAGTATACAGAGTTTTATAAACAGGAAAACATCAATATATTTGCCGTTCAAGTCAGTCTTAAAAAATACGATCTTTAATATGTATTTTATGGCTTTTCAAGTGCATGTATAATTGCTTTTCAATCGTTGACGGACTAACAAAACAAACAACTACCTCACCTGTGAGAAGCGATATGTTCCTTTTAGTGGAAACTACGACATCCAACAATTGAACGATTGAAGTGTTGGCATTATAAAAGAAATGCCAAAAAAGAATCGTTTTTGAAAAATTCTTTATAATTTACTATAGACACCAGGGGGAGGTCGAGAATATTATTTTTCTGCAAAGCGATCATTTCAGCGGAAATACGTCCGTTGGCCGCCATGTTTTTTACAACAGTTCCCAGTCCACTTAGCCGCTCCAGTTATTATAGAACTCAATGGAATCTCCCCACACTACAGTACATCTGGTCAAAAGGCCAGGTGTACTATGTCCGATAATTTATATCGTTACATCAATCTCCACATAAGGAAAAAAACAATATTATAATTTGAAGGATCTAGGAGTAGTTTTCACAAAAATTGGTAATCACATGTAGAACGTTCATTGTAAATGTACGTCCTACAGAAGATTTTCTTTTGACTGATGTGTCCGATGTGTCGGTGTCTAGTCGTGCTTGATTGGTTTCTATACTGACATTTAAGGTCATGTCTTGCGTAGAGAAGTTTGCTGCACCTGTTGCTCATTTCGGTCTTCGGACTCAGATTGTTAATTTTCTTCCCATTAAGCTCTGTATCAATCTTCCCCTTTCTTTAGTGGATGGCTGATGTCTTCTGTTCCGTCTGCATATTTAGCCTTTCGAAATAATTAGGTACGACGTGGGTGCAAACTTCTGGTTACACACTTCTTTCCTTCATGTCCTGCACGCCTGGTCTGGTCGTATAAGTACTGTATCTCCTAGGTTGAGATCTATTAATGGCTTGCTGCCATGGTTGTAATATTTCGTTTGTTTTTTCTTTTGTTTGTCAACAATTTCTTGACTCGATGGGTTAATTTTGGCTTCAATAGTTTCCATGCCGTAGGGAGAAGCGTTTTTGTTCACATAGCCTACTATATATGTACGTGGATAAATAGTCCAGTTTAGTTTACATATCAGTGGCTTAACTATCCTCTGCCAATAGCAAATTAAATAAAAAACATTACAACACCGAATCAAAAATATAAATGTTAAAGAAAGGTAATCACATTGCTGAAACAGTTTATCGTTCTCTTAGTGGATTAAAGTCATCTCCGAATCGTTAGGAATGAAATGAGTATTTTAGAGCAAAAATAGTCACCGTCGTTCTCGTTGACAAAAGCGCGCTAAAAAGAAAAGCAATGATGCGCATGCGTATTAATTTTATATTGCAGTACCCAGCCATTGTACCCAGAATGCTCGCTCTGCAATCTTCAGAAACGTAGTGAATATCAGTAGGACTAGAGTTGAAGAATTTTGTCAGAACGTAACATCATGCAGCAGAGGAAAATATCTCACTTTTAAAGAGGAATGATTTGTTAATCACTTTCAAAATACAAGTTCTTATTAAACGTCTTGTAAAATTGTCGTGTTGCTTACAAAGGCCAAGAGAATCGATACAATACTGGCATATTCAACTAATTCAAGTTAGATCATCGATGTCAGGTTCTCTAAAAGATCACATTTAAATAAGGCATGAGCGTACATACATAAAGAAAAACACATGTTGTAGACTAGTGAGAAATTAATCATTTTAAGAAATATACAACAACTGAAATTATTTCAACTAATATCATTATAACGTATATATTTATAAATGCCACGTTTGTGCTTATTACGGTTCCTTTGAAAATAAAGCATGAATTAATTATCAATTTCAATAGCTTGCTGAAACCAAAAATAATCACATCAACACAAGCTACTTTTAGAAGTTTATAGCTACATACCTTGATGGTGGCTATGTTTCAAGTGATGTTTAGTTTTTTAGTTCTCAAGTTTTAGTCCAGCTTTTCATCATCCTTATTTATGTCTATATAAATTCATTGTTTTTGCCGTGAGTATAAACACAGAAAGATTGACAGCAGGATTACATGAGCATGCTGGCGATACGAACTGAAATAAAACATTTTCTCATTTTGGCCACGTTCAAAAAATAATGTCCTGTACATTTATTATTTTAAAGTAGAAGTTTCAAAAATTCGTGTTGATAACGTTAACATGTTCGTAATTGCATATGTTTTTCGTTATGACACAACAACTTCCTTCGATGTACGTGTAAAGTTGATATTCACAATAAAATTGCTGTTCGAGATAATAGAGTTATATTTATATAATTTTTATACTGGAGACAGCTGGGGGGAATTATTGCCAGTTTGGTTCAATATAGCTGCAACGTAAATTGTTTTAAGAATGGTCAACGGCAAAATACAGCTTGTAATCAATTTTACTGCATCAAAAGTAAGTACATAAAATATAGCTATTTTTGAGAATGATCTGTATCGAGTGCCACGTTTTAAAGGTTTCTTTTTAAGTCGTGTATGAATAAATTACTTAATTTAATTGAGTGCTGAGACAGAATGTGAAAACAAGAATATATAGCTAACACTTGTCGACAGAAAAACAGTTGGGTTGAGTTTTAGGCATAGAAATTTATATACTTTGTAAATTTGTTGTATTTTATACAACAAAATATCAAATAAGTAAACAACAGGAAGTGTTATTAACTACAAATTCCAAACATGTGATGCAATATTGTCAGTTTGAAATTGTAGACAAACTGTGGTGTCTGTTGTTCCTTATAAATAGTAAAATTGCTTTTCATACTAAAGACAAAAGAAATATTTTTGTGCAAGTTGATTTACATCAAGGTTTGACTCTATACAATAAAATAGTGGCGCAAAATTCGTCTTTTAAACATTGCATAGTCAAGCAGAACTTGTAATAGTGCAAATTCATTGGACGAAACTTCGAGCATAAAATGGCTACTGTCTAAATCTCAAATAATTAAACTCTTTTATTATCAGCTGAAACTACCCTATTCTTCATGAATACTCACATACATAAATAGAGCTTTGATGATCTTGTCCTCACTCCAAACTTGTGGATATCGATCACATATCATAAAATGGCAAAATTTGCATTTGCGTTGGTCGGTGACATAGTATGACGGGTGCCTTTATGTCAAAAAAATGTGATGTAAATAATAATGATATATTATTAGTTTAGGGCCTGTTCATGTGAGCCGGGCTGGCCGACTTTGCAGGGCCAGTTTATTATTTGATTGACATGAGGCGGGCTAGCCCGACCTAGTACAGTAACAATTATTTACGCACGCCACATAAAAGTCCAAATCCCTATACTTTATGTTACTTTTATAAGCTGAAAGAAACTCAATGATGTTATTTATTAGTCTATAGTCCACCGAAAGTTGTTCTTTTGCTTGCCCTATCTTTTGCATTGCATTGAATTTTATGAGCATGCGTACTAATACGATGTTTAATTCCGCATGCCGGTCTAGCCCGCCTTGTGCATTCACATGAGCCCGTTTATGACGAGATCTTGCCTCGTTTAAGCGACATCGCGGCAAAACGGGCAAGCCCGTCTCTCATATGAATCAAATTTGTAATTATATGTAAATACTAAAAGAGGTGAGATCTTGCTACTGCAGGGCAAGCTCGGTAAAGCGGGCCAGCCCGGCTCAGATGAATAGGTTCTTATATACATACACTTGAAATTGTAAGCACCCAGCTTATAACTTATGTTAAGATTATGTGTATAACTTACACTTTCCATAATTACAAATTGTTTATCTCTTGCAAATAAGTACTTCGTTAGCGTTACACGAGTTAATTGTATTCAAGTAAATCTTGAATGCAATTAAGCTTGGTAGGTTTGTATGGCTACTATGTAACAGAGAACATGCATGCTAAAGCCTGATTGGATCTACATGCTGTTATATATTCAGTCATAACAAATATATATAATGAAAGTTTTATTTCGACGAAACTTTTGTAATGGTTCAAAACTTATTATTGCAAAAAAATCTTGTACGTCGTGCACATTTGAAAGTGGTAGCCAGTTTTCTTACGGCAGACGTCGAATTATTTTAACGATGCACTTTATTCAAACAAACATACCTACGTATTGCTTGATCGAATTCACTTATAATTTATTTTGACAGTGGGCGCTGATCCAACCTTGCATCTCTATAATTACAAAACATCTGTCAACATTACTCTTATTTTTACTCATTATTGTAGAAAGGCACACCATGGTTCGTCATCAACTGTTGAGGATTGGTTAATGCTGATGATCAACATACTCAAATTCCTATTCTCATTTGACTGATAACCTTCTTGATCTTCATTAGCCGACTATTCAGGCTAAAAACTGAAATGGCTAACCGCTATAACATTGTCAAAACGTCAGTTAACATCAACAACAATAGTCCTTCTCAGGACTCTACTAGCTTGGAAGATCTACATCCACAAACATGTAACGATACTGTCGGGTTCAAACCATTTAATTTATTACGAAAGATATTTGTTAGATTGCCTTCTACATCACTTTCAAAATTATCGAGAAAACAAAATTGTGCGTGTTTTTTTACTGTTTTTAAATGCCATGCTGTGTAACATAAACATTGAACATAACTTTAATTTTGTAAACAGCAAGCTCAAATTTTTTTGATGATATGACGTAAAAAGTAATTTCCTCTGACGTATACGGCGCTCCACGCTGCTAAGTCTTCAATCAGTTCAACAAGTGCATTTAAATAGCTAGATGTTTCTTCAAAAAGAAAGTAGCTGATGTAAAATTTTTAAATTTAGGCGACCCTACAACAACAAATGTCAAGCACTATCCAAAACATTGTTATTTCTTAACATCAACAACATACAGCATACGTACTCTTTAACACACATTTTGCTGGATCCTATTCAAACGATGAAAATAGAATTGTCAAAGGATACTGTTAAATCTTTTCAATTTTTAATTAAAAGTCTTTATATCAATGCAAGCTTTGTTTTGGATGTCGCTCCCTTATAGGGTAACGTCATGAAGAGCATTTAATTAGAAATTGTTGATAATATTGGTCCTTTTTTTTTAGCAAAACACAGTGCTCACTGCAATGCCTAGTGCTATCTATTATTACAACTCTTCATTATTTTTAAACTTTTTTTATTAAAAAATCTATATTATCGCAAGCAAGCTATCAATGAAGTGCAACGTAATTAACAGCTTGTTAACACAATATCACAATAAGTCTTTATTCATTAATTCTATATTAATCAGCTAGTGGTGTTGTTTTACGATAAATAAAGGCCTGTTTATTAAAGAGTAAATGTCATGTTGCAAAATCCTTCAAAACTACCGAATTTAAGTTTTGAGTCAGTTTTGTAAACTTCTTCCATGTTTAGGGAATTCGATTTTAAATTAAAATAATGTCAAGTTTGTGGCTATGTGTGCAAATTGTTCAACATATTTAAACTATTTAAAGCAGTTCAATTACATGCTAAAACAAATTAGTCTGTGTAATTTTGTAAAGGCATCTTTATCCTCACAACTTATTCATGCTAGACACACACATATATAAACAGCCTCGATCCTCATCTCAACCTAAAGTGTTTACTTGTAAGACATTTGAGACAAGACAAGATGGTGAGCTTTATTTGTGCATTCGTGGCGATTACCTGCATCGTTGTTAATGTTCAAGGGAAAGCTATGGCTTACTGCCAAGAAGAACTTGGAAATGTTGAATGTGATCATTAAACGCTATGAAGACTATATTAGAAACACCGTATTTCTATATTAGAGCAGGCCATCCCGGCTTAACGAGATTCGCTTGAAGGAAGCGAGATCTCGCTTCTAACGGGCTCATTTAACTGCATCAATCGGGCCGGCACGGCTGAACTGGGCTGGAAGCGAGGAGACTGCGCATGCTCTTGTCTTATTTGGTTACTTAAATATAGCAAAATTTTCAAAACAATAATGTGCAATTGAAAATAAGTTTGAAAATTCCATGTTATACCACTACAATAGTTTTATTAAGTTTCTTTATATTGAGACGGCCTTAATCAACTAAACTTTTAGTGAAAGACAAACGAATTAACTGACCACTTATTCGTAAACAATGTTCTTTTTATTTATAAAGAGATTATTCTGCCGTCCACCTCCGAACACTTGCTTGATTGAAAAGTTTGTAATGAAATTACGACTTCAAGTGCGAGTGTAATATAGAGATGATGGTTATGTAGATACAACATTTCTCGGGTTACAACAACCGATGTCAAGCACCATTCAAAGTATAGTTATTTTGTTATATCAACAACATAGAGCATACGTGCTCTTTAACACACGTTTTTCTGGATCCTATTCAAAAGATGAATTTAGAATTGTCAAAGGATACTGTTAAATGCTTTTTAATTGCCTCAATTTTTAACAAACAGTCTTTATTTCAATGCAAGCTTTGTTTTGGATGTCGCTCCCTTATAGGGTGCAATCATGAAGAGCATTTAATCGGAAATTTTTGAAGATCTCGGTTCTTTTTTCAGCAAAACACAACACTCGCTGCAATGCCTTGTGCTTTTATTATAACTCTTTCTTATTTTTAAATTGTTTTCTTAAAAATCTATAACATCGCGAGCTAGCTATCAATGAAGTACAACGTATTTAACAGCTACACATAGTTTGTTACCAAAACACCAGAATAAGTCTTTATTTATTAATTCTATATTAATCAGCTAGTGTTGTTGTTTTACGATAAATAAAGGCCTGTTTATTAAAGAAAAAATGTTATGTTGCAAATCCTTCAAAACTACCTTATTAGAACTCCCTAAGCATATTTCTTCTTTGCAAGGGTTGTGTAAAAAATCTTAAGGGTTATTCAAATGCCTCGTATTTTATTAAGTTTCCTTATATTGAGACGGCCTTAATCAACCAAACTTTTAGTGAAAGACAAACGAATTAACTGACCACTTATTTGTAAACAATGTTCTTTTTATTTATAAATAGATTATTCTGCCGCCCACCTCCGAAGACTTGCTTGATTGAAAAGTTTGTAATGAAATTACGACTTCAAGTGCGAGTGTAATATAGAGATGCTTGTTATGTAGATACAACATTTCTCGGATTACAACAACCGATGTCAAGCACCATTCAAAGTATAGTTATTTCGTCATATCAACAACATAGAGCATACGTGCTCCTTAACACACGTTTTTCTAGATCCTATTTAAAAGATGAATTTAAAATTGTCAAAGGATACTGTTAAATGCTTTTTAATTGCCTCAATTTTTAATAAACAGTCTTTATATCAATGCAAGCTTTGTTTTGGATGTCGCTCCCTTACAGGGTGCAATCATGAAGAGCATTTAATTGGAAATTTTTGAAGATCTCGGTTCTTTTTTAGCAAAACACAACACTCACTGTAATGCCTTGTGCTTTTAATATAACTCTTTCTTATTTTTAAATTGTTTTCTTAAAAATCTATAACATCGCGAGCAAGCTATCAATGAAGTACATCGTATTTAATAGCTTGTTACGACAATATCACAATAAGTCTTTATTCATTAATTCTATATTAATCAGATAGTGTTGCTGTTTTACGATAAATAAAGGCCTGTTTATTAAAGAAAAAATGTTATGTTGCAAACCCTTCAAAACTACCTTAATAAAATTCCCTAAGCATATTTCTTCTTTGCAAGGGTTATGTAAAAAATCTTAAGGGTTAGTCAAATGCCTCGTATTTTATTAAGTTTCCTTTCATTGAGACGGCCTTAATCAACTAAACTTGGAGTGAAAGGCAAACAAATTAACTGACCACTTATTCGTAAACAATGTTCTTTTTATTTATAAAGAGATTATTCTGCCGCCCACCTCCGAAGATATGCTTGATTGAAAAGTTTGTAATGAAAGTACGACTTCAAGTGCGAGTGTAATATAGAGATGATGGTTATGTAGATACAACATTTCTCGGATTACAACAACCGATGTCAAGCACCAGTCAAAGCATAGTTATTTCGTTATATCAACAACATAGAGCATACGTGCTCCTTAACACACGTTTTTCTGAATCCTATTCAAAAGATGAATTTAAAATTGTCAAAGGATACTGTTAAATGCTTTTTAATTACCTCAATTTTTAATAAACAGTCCTTATATTAATGCAAGCTTTGTTTTGGATGTCGCTCCCTTATAGGGTGCCGTAATGAAAAGCATTTAATTGGAAATTTTTTAAGATCTCGGCTCTTTTTTAGCAAAACACAACACTCACTGTAATGCCTTGTGCTTTTATTATAACTCTTTCTTATTTATAAATTGTTTTCTTAAAAATCTATAACATCGCGAGCTAGCTATCAATGAAGTACAACATATCTAACAGCTACACATAGTATGTTACCAAAATATCACAATAAGTCTTTATTCATTAATTTTATATTAATTAGCTAGTGTTGTTGTTTTACGATAAATAAAGGCCTGTTTATTAAAGAAAAAATGTTATGTTGCAAATCCTTCAAAACTACATTAATAGAATTCCCTAAGCATATTACTTTTTTGCAAGGGTTATGTAAAAAATCTTGAGGGTTATTCAAATGCCTCGTATTTTATTAAGTTTCCTTATATTGACACGGCCTTAATCAACCAAACTTTTAGTGAAAGACAAACGAATTAACTGACCACTTATTCGTAAATAATGTTCTTTTTATTTATAAAGAGATTATTCTGCCGCCCACCTCCGAAGACTTGCTTGATTGAAAAGTTTGTAATGAAATTACGACTTCAAGTGCGAGTGTAATATAGAGATGCTGGTTATGTAGATACAACATTTCTCGGATTACAATAACCGATGTCAAGCACCATTCAAAGCATAGTTATTTCGTTATATCAACAACATAGAGCATACGTGCTCTTTAACACACGTTTTTCTGGATCCTATTCAAAAGATGAATTTAAAATTGTCAAAGGATACTGTTAAATGCTTTTTAATTGCCTCAATTTTTAACAAACAGTCTTTATATCAATGCAAGCTTTGTTTTGGATGTCGCTCCCTTATAGGGTGACGTCATGAAGAGCATTTAATTGGAAATTTTTGAAGATCTCGGTTCTTTTTTTAGCAAAACACAACGCTAACTGTAATGCCTTGTGCTTTTATTATAACTCTTTCTTATTTTTAAATTGTTTTCTAAAAAATCTATAA